CCTTTGCTCACAAAGTGACCCACAGAAACCTCCAGCCCTTGGTATTCCAATGAATTTCCTCTCCAAACCACATAGCCTTGAGTAATAATTGCAATATGATCAAATTCTTTAAAACAACTTGCAACAAACTGTGCAAAAATCTACTGATTTCTGTGAGGTCAAGCCCGGATTTTACCCTTTGGAAATTGTCCCTGGTAACTCCATTCAAATGGTCGTGTCTTCCCTAGTCATCTACTGTATGTTAGTAAGCGGGAAAACAGAGTAATATCCAGGTTCTGTTACCTAATGAATATTGGTAAAAATTTGGTGAAAACCCCAACAACTTCAAAAAAAAAAAGCTATTTCATGTGTCCAAGGCTGATGTACATTCAGCACAGCCTTCTGGGTCTGGCATAAAGAAGCAGAGGAGAGAGAGCATGGCTGTGGCTCCAAGAGAGGGTGGTGTTAGTCCCAGAGGGCTGAAATTGCTAGGGGTTGGTTTAGACATCAGGTGAGGAGCCAATTTAAAGCTTTCCCTGGTTTCCAGCCATTCAGAAGTGTATCATGCAAAGGGTGATAATAAAAAGGTATATCTAACCAAAGAATTGACTCATAAGAACAACAGCAATGGTACACCACATTTAAAGTACCATATCTATGACACAGGTCTCTTTTGCAGGGTGTACGTACTCTCCTCTCTACCACTCATAGATGCAAGCTAAAGAAGTGATGAGAGTCGTGGGTATGGGGTCTGAAGATGAAATACCAGAAATAAAACCAGCTAACAGCATCACCATGATCCAGAACAACAGCAAAGCCCAAAGAAACAGAGCAAAGTATCAGAGCTATTTTTCCAGCTGGTGACATCCTGCTACAAATGTTACAGCAAAATGTGTATTTCTTGGGCTTTCTAATTAACAACACTTGAAATGGCCCCACTGCAAGACTGTTTCAAATCTTATTTCTGCTGCTTGTTTGGTTTTTGTGCTGCTTCAAGCCTGTACAATAAAACAACATTCGGCCTACTTACCTTTCTGTTTCTGATATCCTAGGTGGCTTCTGCAATGCAGTAAACTGTTATTAAAATGGCCTGATTTTTACTGAAACTTGGAAATAGCATGAAATATTTTCAGCTGCCCTGTCATGAAGGATCCCAGGTTTTATTGCCTCACTTGCCTTCAGTGGGAACATGTTAATTCATGGTCCACTAATTGTCCAGGAGCTTTCTTTTTAGTTCATAACTATCCTTAAAAATCTCATCACCAAATAAAAACAAGTTTTGACGTATTTCAGTCAACAGGCTACTTTGCAGTGCAGGAAAAAAACCAGAATGAGCACTAGAGGGCAAAGTAAGCTTATACACGTGTAAGAATTGTGGGTGAATGTACATGTATTTTGGCAAGACAGTATTTCAGCTCTTTATGAGCATGCTGCTTATCAATAAACTGCTGTTGGGTGCACAGAAGGGAATTGAAAGAGAAATGAACTATTCTTGAAAGAAAGATCTCAGAGATAACGGACAGGAGCTTATAAACCAGCATTTGATTTCAATTACTTTTTAGCCAAGAGTGATGTAATTGAATTTATTTGTACTGTGACACTGTCTAGAAGACCCACTTAAAGATGGGGATGCTGGAACAGACATTTGCTGAACAAATACAAAGGAAAAATAAAATAGCAAACCAACATATCTTGGTTTATTCTTGCTTTTTAAAGAAAGGTAAAGATTCTTTAAGGGAAAGGAAGAAAGTTGAAGAGTCAGAAGATCCTCTCTCTTCTCCTTGCCATTGTAATTTTTTTGAGCAATCTGTGTTTTATCACCATCATGTTACCAGGTCAGGTGTATATTATGGCCCTGGCTATCCAAAATCCTCTGGTATTTCTTCCAATTAGCATTTTTCTAGAAGTTAAACAAATGTAGCAAAATACAGTTTTTAGCATACATTATTGTCAAATGGAAATGAGTGAAACAGTGAATGTGAAATCTCCAATCCAGATCAAAAACTGAACATAGATGAAACAACATCATTCCCAGGTGGGACTGCTTGTAGGCCAAAAAGTTTCATAAATTTTCTTACAAGACTCCTGCACCAGTGCTGTGCAGCACAGGTCCAAGTCACAGTTATGGCTGTTCTCGTGGCTAGTCTCACAGCACCTTGTTCACATGTGCTATGCTGCACTTCATGGGAATCTGCACTAAAAGTCATAGGGTTTCACCTATGCTGAGTCCGTGTTCTGGAGTGGATTCCTGGGACTGGAGTCAAACACCTCGTATCCCACATGAAACTTCAGAATAAATACAGCAGAACTGAAGAATGCTTATTCCAGACTTTACTCTGGAAAAAATTATTCACAAGTCACAGTCAACTACAGCTGTCCAGAGCAATTTTTCCATGGGTTTGGCCTGTTCTTGTCAGCTCTGGCTTTACTTCATTTTTAAATTGGGGGTGGGGGGAGGGGAAGCATACACCAGATGGAGAAAAATCCCAAAGTGAAACAGGACCAAAGCCTATGGAGATAACTCTCCAATTAATCATCCAGCATCAGCCCTTGTTGCTGGGAAGGACAGCGGTGAACTCCTTCAGAACAGCCACAGCGTAGCTGCAGCGGTGGCTGCGGTGGAGCAGGCAGCTCAACGCCAAGGCTGAGGGGAGGGGTGTGGGCTGGAGAAGGGCTCAGCAACTGCTGATGGGGAAACAGTACCCATGGACCCAGCCTGCCCCTTGGCTGGGGCAGCCCTAAACTGTTTTCTCCCTCCTCGTTGTGGAGAAACGCTGGGTCCTTCCAGGGAGTGACCAGAAGGGGGACCAAAAAAATGAGGGTGACAAAGATACAGAATAAATGTTAAAAGAGTCAGTCCTCAGTTTTGACTGGCAGAATGAATTAACTTTGCTTTAGAAATGTAATGCAAAGCAAAAAAAAAGGTGAACAGATCAAGTAAGATTGCATTTGATACTTCCAATAAGTTGACTGTGCTTTTTAATATCCAAAAATCTTCCTGCTAATCATAGAATCATAGAATCATAATAGCAGTGTCAGTAGAGCACAGGTCTGAATTCTGATCTATAATGGGAAGAGAACGGAGAAGACAAAAAATCATAGAAACATAGAATGGTAAGGGTTGGAAGGGACCTTAAAGATCATCTGGTTCCAACTCCCCTAGCATGAGCACAAACATCTTCCACCAGACCAGGTTGCTCAGAGCTCCATTCAACCTGGCCTTGAACACTTCCAGGGAGGGGGCAGCCACAGCTTCTCTGGGCAACCTGTTCCAGTGTTTCACCACCCTCATGGTGAAGAATTTCTTCCTAATACCTAATCTAAATCTGCCCTCTCTTAGTTTAGAGCCATCCCCCCTTGTCCTATCACTACACACCCTTGTGAAATGCAGCTGCTGGTAAAGGCAGAAATTCAATGTCAGAAGAGGCGTAAAATAGAGAGCAAAGGGGCAGAATCACCTCCCTCGACCTGCTGGCCACACTTCTCTTGATGCAGCCCAGGATACAATTGGCTTTCTGGGCTGCAAGCGTACATTGCCAGCTCATGTTGAACTTCTCATGCACCAGTACCCCCAAGTCCTTCTCCTCAGGGCTGCTCTCGAGCCCCTCTCCACCCAGAAACTTGTGTTTCGGATTACCCTGACCCACGTGCAGGACCTTGCACTTGGCCTTGTTGAACTTCATGCGGTTCACGCAGGTCCACCTTTCCAGCCTGTCAAAGTCCCTGTGAATGGCATCCCTTCCCTCCAGCGTGTGAACCACACCACACAGCTTGGTGTCACCGGCAGACTTGCTGAGGGTGCACTCAGTCCCACTGTCCATGTTGCCGACAAAGATACTGAGCAGCATTGGCCCCAGTACCGACCCCTGAGGCACACCACTCATCACTGGTCTCCACCTGGACATCAAGCCATTGACTGCAACTCTTTGTGTGCATCCATTGAGCCAGTTCCTTATCCAGCAAGTGGTCCGTCTGTCAAATCCATGTCCTTCCAATTTAGAGACAAGGACATCATGCGGGACAGTGTCAAATGCCTTGCACAATTAACCCTCATATAGGTGAGAATGAGTGCTTTACATCAGTGTTCTCTAGGCTTCTACTGATACTCA